CCCGGAGCAAGGGCAGGGGAGGGGCTGGAACGGAACAGCACCGGACAGAGCCGGGCGGCAACTGCAAACAAGAGTGTTTCACAATTCACTGCTGGCATGGACTCAATTATTGAGGAACCTTCTGCGTTCAGAATGGTCACATCCCAGCAAAGCTATCTCAAGCCCCTTTCCTGTGTCAAGGACTTCCGCCTCCTACTGACCTCCTTCCAGTGCTAAGCTAGGGGCATGGTGTGTAGTCCCCTGTTCTCTACAGGTGCAAGTGCCCCTGCTTCTAGAAAAGAGAATCTATGCTTGGGATGTTGAGTGACCTACCCCAGGTCCCACAGAGAGGGCTGGCTGCACAGCCCCTGTTCATTCCACTAAACAATGTAGGCAGGAAGGGCCAGGGCTGGGCATCTGGAGAGGTGGAAGAGAGGAGTTATTTTCCCAGCTCTGTTCTGTGTGACCCTGAGCAACTCGTGTAGCCTCTCTGGCCTGGACTGCTCAGCCAGTGTGGGGACGTTCAGCCAATCGACGAGGCTGTGGAGAAGCTGGAAGATTTACGCAACTGGCCGGGGGCTGTACATTGTTTCAGAGCTGCTGGAAATGTTTGGCAGTGCACATCAAGAGACACATCAACGTCCATACCCTTTCATCCACTCCTGCTAGTCTAATTCCAAAAAAATAATTACGAGGAAGGAAACAATTACACGCATAAGCCAGTTCATGGAAACATCTGGGCTGGAGCAATAGCCTGGAGACCGATTCACTTTGCCCAAAGAGCCACCCCACACCTCCCATTTCCCATCATGCTCTGATATATTTTCTTTTTCAAAAAAATTTTTAAATAATTACTTATTCATTTCATTCCATTTGTTACTACTAATATTTTTTATTTGACCAGAGAAAGACAGAAAGAGAGAGAAAGGGAAAGCAAGAAAGCAAGTCGCCAGGTCTGGGACTCGAACTGTGGTCATCCATGTGGGAATACAGTGCCTTTAACCACCACGCCACCTGCTGGCCCCTCTGATATATGTTCTTCATAGCACATACCAAGTGAAACCATCTTATTCACATACTTGTTTGTAGTTACACTCCGCAATGAGAGAATAAGTTCCATGAGGGCAGGGACTCCCTTTCTGTATTCCAGCGCCCACACACACAGTCTGCTCAATGAGCATGCATTTACTGAGTGGATGAGTGAGCGGACACAAACTCTAAAAACAAATGGAGGGGACCAGCAGGTGGCATGGAGGTTAAGACGCTAGATTCCTACATGGCCAACTAGAGTTCGAGTCCTGGACTTGGCAGCTTACTTTCTCACCTTCTCTCTCTCTCTCTCTCTCTCTCTCTCTCATGAGTGCATGTACCCTACAGCAAAATTTAAAAATAATAATAAATTAAATTAAATAAATAATTCTTTTTTTTTTTGAGAGGTTTTTCACTATAGGCCCCGTGCGCTCGCTGGACAGACAGAGACATAGAGACAGAAAGCGAGAAATCACCCCCCGTGGGGATGGCCACGCCGCAATCCCTTCTCCTCCATTCTCCTCTTGGGATTTTGGGCACGCACACGCGCCTGGCGTGAGTTTTAAGCCACCGGGTCCCGGACGTGAACCGCGGTCGACTATGTGGGAATCCAGCGACATAGCCATTACGCTAACTGCTGGTTCCTCATCTTGCACTTCTAATCATCAAAAAGAAAGTACATGTCTCATAGGCCTCTTTGAATTCTTCACATGGCATATTCCACAGCTGGGAGCACTATTCAAACCACATACTGGTAGGTGAAATGGGCTGTCATTGTCTTGGGGACTCAGATACGCTAACTGCTGGTTTCCAAAATAAATAAATCTTAAAAGACAAAAGCAAATGGAAATTATCTAAAAGCCGGGAATGATTTAAATACCTAAAATAAGATATGATTTACTATATTACAGGACAACAGCATAGTAGGTTAGTAATTTGGCTATTAAGTGAGATTTAGGATCTATACACAAACGCATTCACTACAGCATGGCTTATGGTGGCAAAAGACTAGAAAGCACAGAACACCCCTAGTTCTCAGGGATGGTTGCAGGTATTTCAGCATACCCATGTACTAAGCATCTTTTTTTAATAATTATTTTATTTAACTTTATTTATTTATTTTTAATTTGACCAGAGAGGGACAGAGTGAGATTATCTAAAAGCCGGGAATGATTTAAATACCTAAAATAAGATATGATTTACTATATTACAGGACAACAGCATAGTAGGTTAGTAATTTGGCTATTAAGTGAGATTTAGGATCTATACACAAACGCATTCACTACAGCATGGCTTATGGTGGCAAAAGACTAGAAAGCACAGAACACCCCTAGTTCTCAGGGATGGTTGCAGGTATTTCAGCATACCCATGTACTAAGCATCTTTTTTTAATAATTATTTTATTTAACTTTATTTATTTATTTTTAATTTGACCAGAGAGGGACAGAGAGAAAAAGAGAGAGATAGGAAAAGTGAGAAAGCAAGCTGCCGGGTCCGAGACTTGAACCACGGTCAGCCATGTGGGAGTCCAGAGCCTTTCACCACCACACCACTGCTGGCCTCACTATGCCTCTTTCTGAGAAGTGAGATAGATCCATGTGTATTGGTGGGCAGAAGTGTGTGGTGTGCTGCTAAGTGAGCCAGGCCGGTGCCGACAGCAGGTGCAGCAGAGTCTATGAGAGAGCACCGGCATGGCACGGTGGCGAGAGCCTAAGTGCCTCCCCTGCCAGAGTAAAAGGCCCGATACGTGGGTAAGATGGAGAGCATTCACCTCTGGATTTATTTATGTCTGTGTTGTTTGCATTGGGAAGTAAGCTTGACCTACATGACTTCCCAAAGTAGTATAAAACGGCGTCAGCAAATCCACGTGGACAACGTTACGGGAGTGATGCCCATGAGAAAGCAGGCAGAAGCACATCTTCCATGTGGCTACAATGGACGTCCATGGACAGGCAACGACTGAAGAATCACAGCCCCTTAGAGGGCAACTTGGACACTGCAAAGTTCAAATTTAAGCCCGGCCACAGTGGCATGAGCAGGAGGATGTCACTGTGTGAGGCTGGAGCCACAGGGGAGGTCTGGTTTGGGTTCCTGATCAACCTGGGCAGGCTGGGTAGTGAGTGCCTGTAATCCTTGCCAACTGGGAGGCTGGGACTGCAGGATCACAATGGCAAGACCCTGGCAAAAACGCTGTGGTTTTTCTCTTCCTTCTCCTGTCCTGCACTTGTACTCCCTTTCTCTCTCTCTCTCTAAAAAGAGAAAAAAAAAATCAAATGCATATGCCTTTGATCAAGCAACTGTTTCTAAGAATTTATCCTTCAAATATACATCCGCCAGCAAATGATCCACATATTGTAGAAGGTAATTAGTTAGCACCTTAGCTATAATAGCAAAATACTTTAAAAAACCAAATGCCCATAGATAGGAACTGGTTAAATTATTATTATATACAAGCAATGAAATTCTATATAGCTATAAATAAGGATAAGAAAGTCCTTTAGAAATATGGTAAAATCTACAAGATATAAAAAGGAAAAACTAAGATCCAGAACACCGAATAGGATATGCTCTCATTTCTGTGTTTTGCTTTGTTTCGTTTTGCTGGGTTTTTCTAAATTTATTTATTTACATTCATTCACTAAACATCATTACAACATACAAAATGAGATTTCCCATCCAGAATACACTGTATATTGTCTCAATCAAGCACATCAACATACATGTATCGTTAACAAATAATTTTCCATTTCTTGTTTCCTGTATATTTTGTTTTTTTTTTTTTCCCATCTTTGATTCCCTATCTCCCACCCTCCTCATACACTGTCTCTGGTATCCATGGTTGCTTTTTATGCCTTCCCCCCCCATTTTATTGATTCACTAATTAATTTAATCTAAATATTTCCAATAACAAGCACAGCTGATATATACATATCCATGAACACAAGTCTGACTTTAGGCATAAACCTCAGAGAGTAGAATGAACATACTATAAAGTAGCACCTAACTGGGGCTATGTAGCTTACTGCAGTCATCAAATATGCATTGTTT